CACATCAGCGTGCACACACACACTCTAGCGTGCACACACACTGCTGTGCGCACACACTAGCGTGCACATACACCACCGTGCACACACACCACCGTGACCACTGTGCACACACACCACCATGCACACACACCGCCGTGCACACACACATCAGCATGCACACACACACACTGCCGTGCGCACACACCAGTGTGCACACACACCACCGTGACCACTGTGCGCACACACCACCATGCACACACACCGCCGTGCACACACACATCAGCGTGCACACACACACTAGCGTGCACACACACTGCTGTGCGCACACACCAGCGTGCACATACACCACCGTGCGCACACACCACAGTGACCACTGTGCGCACACACCACCATGCACACACACCACCGTGCACACACACATCAGCGTGCACACACACACACCAGTGTGCACACACACCACCGTGCGCACACACCAGCGTGCACACACCGCCGTGCGCGCACAGAGCAGGACCGGACCTCACAGCCTCCGCTGGGCCTGGATGCTTCCTTCCCTGGGACCTCAACACGCAGACTTGGAGGAAGCCTGAAGAGCAGATGTTCCTCAACGATTCACAGTGTCCCCAGCTGCAGGGCTGTCTCCCACCTTCAAGTCCTGGGCCACCCTGGCTCCTCCTGGTCAGGCCCAGTCCTGCCCCATGTGGAGGCCAGTGCCCTGGTGCTCAGAATCAGGAGCAGAACTCGCCCAGGGCGGGAGGAGAGAGAGTGGCCGGGCTTACCTGCGCCAGGTGGGCGGCTCTGCAGGTGCTGGAAGGGTCAGCTGCCCACAGGCCAGCCACAGCCGGGACTGAAAGAGCTCGGGAAGCAGAGAGGCCAGGGCTGGGGGGCTAGGGGGCTGGGGTGCTGGGGCTTCCCTCCCACACTCCGGGTGATGGCAGCCCTGGTGCCCACAACACCTGAGCACCTGGTGTGCGCAGGAGGGGCCTGTGGGCCTGAGCTGTCCCCAGGCAGCCGTCCACTGTGGCCCCTGCCCCGCGTGGGCAGGCCGCTCAGGCAGGACCTGGCATCCACAGCCAGGCTAACAGGACAGGTCAATGCCCCCCTTCCTGGACCCCTTCATCCCTGACCCTGGTCTCACCTCTGCTTCCCCTCTGTTTCCAGGCTTGGCTGTCCACCAGGTTGTCACCATCACGGTCTCCCTCATCATGGTCATAGCTGCTCTGATCACAACTCTTGTCTTAAAAAACTGGTAAGGATCCTCGGCCCTTCTGGTCTGGAAAGGGGGCTGTGGGGGTCCCCGGGGAGGGGCACACGGTAAGATCTCGCTTCCATACCTGGCCCCAGAGCACTGTGCCTCTGCTCGGGCCACGGCGCTGGGAGCACACCCCCACCACCGGGCGCGGTCTGCAGATGCCCTGCTGAGCCGCTGACTCCTTTTCCTTTGATCCAAGTGCCTTTGGGTGTCGTCCACCCAGGGCGCAATCTTTTTCTCCATTTGCCAGCAGTGCCGGGCCCTCGCTGGCCCAGGCTGTCCGGGCGCCCGGAGCCGGCCCAGACTCTTCTCATCCTCCCTTCCTCGAGGAGCCCTCCGTGTCTGCCGAATTAGGTTACCGCTTCGCCCCAGGCAGCCTGTCTCTGCCTGTTTCCTCCTGGAAATTGGCCTATTTTGAGGTTGTGGTGCACACACACCTGCTCCACCCTGGGAAAAGCAGGGAGCTGCTGGGTGACCCCCGTCCGCCCGCGGCCGCGCCTCCAGCCGGCGTGGCTCCTTTTAGCATCAAAGCTCACACCCCCAGTGGATCCCCTACTCCCCGCGGAGCTGGTCGGAAACGAGACGGGCTGACAGGTGGGAGCTGCCGGAGCATCCACAGGACGGGATGCGGTAGAAAGGTCATCTCCAGGGTCAGGGAGGCGGACGGGGAGGCACACGCCTGGGACGGGCCTCACTCAGACGGGGCCACGGAGCCGCCTCCGACGGCCAGCCAGCCCGGGCCCCAGGCGCGTTCTGGGTCCGATGATGAGGACAGCGCTCAGCTCACGGGGGGTGGGCTTCCCGGGTAGAGGCCGGACCACATGGCCGCCTGTCCTGCAGACCCTGATGAAGGAAAAGCCCCTCCCCCAAGGGGGTGGCGGGCCTGTGACCCCGAATGTGGCAGGCAGGCCACCAGCTCCTTCTGGTTTCCCCACACACCCGGGTTTGCAGCAAACGCTCCAACAGGCCTTCAGGGAAGACAGCCCGGGAGGCTGATGATGGGGTCCTGTGACCTTGGGGCAGAACTTCCAGGCCAGCAGTCAGGGGTCCTCACTGGGAGGACAAGGCGGGGTCCGACTCACGGGGTGGGCTCACGAAGCCCCCCTGCAGCCCCTCACTCGTCATCAGCGCTGAGCGTGGAGGGGAAGGGGGCTGGCGCCTGGATGAGGGTCCCCCACAGTGGGGGCTCCCTACATTTTCCCCTCCCCACCCTTCTCCATGGGGATGGGACTTCCACCCACCCTGCTCGTGAACTTGCCAGAGTGACACCCAGGAGCGAGGCCTCTGATTGTTACTTGGTCAGACCCCTCGGCCCACAGGGGTGAGAGGCCCGTGTCCGTCTTAGGTGGCATCTGGAAGGTTCTGGGTCCTGAGGGATCCTCGGGGTGCGAAGGACAGTTCTCTCCACAGACCCAGTTGGGGTGAAGGGGGGCGGGTCCAGTCATATTTCAGCTCATGGGTGTGACAAGGGAGGGGTTCCTGATGCCCCAACTGTCCCCAAGGAGAGGGCTGAATCGTCCGTCGAAAACCAGTGGTCGGGCCACCCAGTCTGCCCAGGGGCTTCCCCACGGGGACCCGTCTGTGTTCATGCCGGCGAGGTGCTCCCGGGGAAACTGAGTCAGCACCGAGGTCGCGCTGACAGGCCCCCGCTCTGGGATGAGGCCGCGCGCCCACTCACCCCATCACCTCCCTGAGATAACAGGCCACACCGCCGTCTCTTGCAGCTGCGCCCAAAGCGGGCGCGCGCGGAGGGACAGTCACCAGCGGAAGGTCAACCAGCAGGAGGAGAGCTGCCAGAACCTGACCGACTTCACGCCCGCCCGGGTGCCCAGCAGCCTGGACATCTTCACGGCCTACAACGAGACCCTGCAGTGTTCCCACGAGTGTGTCCGGGCGGCCGTGCCCGTGTACACCGATGAGACGCTGCACTCGATCGGGGAGCACAAGTCCACCTTCAACGGGAACCGGTAAGCGTGGCGTGGCCCACTCGCCTCCCCAGGCTCCCGGTGCCCGCTTGGCCTCGGGGCTGCGGACGGGGCAGGCGTCCTTCCCCTGGGTCTGAGGGTCCAGGCAAAGGCGGGCGGACAGGCGTGCCCCTCCCCCCGAGAAAGGACGCAGGGACAGACAGACGCTCGTCCAGATCTGCACGGGGCAGTGGGTGGGCCAAATGCCTGCCGCCTCAGCGCCCCTTGGCGGGCACCACCCCCGATCCAAAGCCAGCTCCGTGGCCCCCTCCTCCTAGATGCCAGCTGTCCTGCTGGGTCCCTCCCGGCCAGTGTCTCTGGACCCCATCAATACGACGTCTGCGGCGAATCGAGCAAAACGGTCACATACCAGCCAGACTCCTGGTCATTAAATGTGCGGTCTTTTTTTTTAAATTATTAATCACAAGTAATCCGTTAAAGACGACGGCCCCTGAAACCCTGCCTGGAGACACTTCAGAACGCCTGAGTCAGCTTCTGAAGGTTTATCCGGAATTAGATTAAAACATCAATAAGCTGTTTTTAAAGCAGACATCCACTCATACCCCATTTTACAAATTAAAAAAAACTCTGCAATGACTTAATTTTAGGAGGAAATGGGTAGGACAGCGGCCTGACTGGAGGGGCGGCTGCCAGAGCTGGCTTCTCCCGGAACCCGCTGGGGGGACTCGGGGGGACTTGCCCTGAATGGGCTTCTCCCGGAACCTGTTGGGGGCACTCGGGGTGACTCTGAGCTGGAGTGCCTGCCTGACCCTCCGTGACAGTGAGCAGATGTCCTTAAATTCCTCATGTCTTTGCGTTGGGCCCCACGGTGTGTGAGACGCCCCTTTCGCAGGGGAGGGGACTGGAAAGAGGGAACCTCAGGGCGGTCCTCCCCACCGCGGCCTGGCTGTCACTCAGGGCACGGGGGAGCTCGGGGTTGCACCCCGCCTTGCAGAAGGCTGAGCGGGCCAAGCACTGGCAGACGGTCTCCTGACCATTTCATTGAAGGAGCATGTCGCTCTGGCCTGAATCCCGGCCAGCAGCGCTTCGGCCTCCGGGGCGGGGGCGGGGCGGCTGTTTGCACCTTGTCTGACTGCCCCGAGCTCCGACCCTGTGTCCCGGGACAGCCCTGTCCTCGGTGGCGTGGGCTCCGCGGCACCCCTGCGCCCCACAAGGAGGCACGGCGGGGAAAGGCCCCTGCTGATGGGCCGGCGAGCTCGGCCGACCCTCCCTGCCTCGGGGAGTGGTCGCTTAGACTCCGAGGTGACACGCTAGGGGGATACCATTTTAGAGCCAGGCCCTGCCCGCTCTGGGACCCGTGATGCCGCAGGCTGAGTGCCCGTCCTCGCGGGCAGCCGCCCTGAGTCTCCTGCTTGTCCCCTGATTGAAACACCAAGTTCTGGAGCTGGTCCCGCCGTGCTGCGACCCTGGCCTCCTCCGGCCTCCGCCCCAGAGCCCTCCTGCGCTGCGTTCTCCAGGCCCGGTGTCCTCCAGGGCCGTCCAGGGGCACGGGGCACCCGCCAGCCGCAGGAGGGGTGGCCCTTCCTGCCGAGGAGCCGCGCTGAGCAGCCCTCCCGGGGGTTCTCCCGGACCAGACAAGCCCGCGTTCCGCAGCCGGCCTGGCCCTGCTGGTTCCGGCGCAGCGTGTGCGAGCCCGTTTCTCTGCTTCCCACAGACCCTCGTCTTCTGACCGGCATCTCATTCCTGTGGCCTTCGTGTCTGAGAAATGGTTTGAAATCTCCTGCTGACTGGCCGGAGTCTTGTTTACCTCCTGGGGGCAGGGCAGACGCCGTGTGTCTGGTTCATGGTACGTACCTCTGGGGTGAACTTGGTTCTCCTCTCCCTCCGCCGCGCCCTCCCCACCCAGTCCCCACCCCGGGAAGATGGGGAGCCCTTCGTGCTGCAGGCGGATTTCAGTGGCGTTAACTCTCCAAGAAAACTGGGGGGCTGGGCTCCTGGGCTCTCTGCTGAGCTTGTTAGGAACGCCCCCGCGTCCTGGCGTGGGGAGACAGCAACCCCCGGGCACCCTGACACAGCGCCGGGGCCGTTTCTGTCCGTGTCTGTCCATCCCCAAGGAAGGCTTCAGCCGGCGTGATCGGAGGGACCCCAGCCTGCAAACCAGCCGGGCCACGAACGGGAAGGGGTCAGGGCCGCGGCCGAGGGGGCAGGCACCCCGCCATTCCGGGTCCTGACATGGGGAGGGGGCTCAGAGCAGAATTAAAATCCAAATGAGAAATAGATATAAAAAAAAAACCAAGAGATAAGAAGGCAAATGATGACGAAGAAAGTGAGGAGCAGAGACATCTGCTCGTTGGAAGCTGGTGACTGGTAGCAAAACAGGGAGAATTTTCCACGCTTGGCTGGCCGGGAACATTTGCTTCTGCCTTCAGCGATATTAACGCGAACGTGATGGGAAATTGGGTTCTGCTGGGCTGGATCCCCTGCGCGCGCAGATGCTGGGGGGAGCGTTTCACCAGCACGGCCGATCGATGCCACCCCGGGCTTGGAGTTCTTTTAATTTGTTTTTCTTTTGGATGCTCGGTTTCCCAAGGACCCCCATTCCGCTCAACCACAGAGAGCATCTCCCCCCCCAGAGGTCCCCCTTGAAAACGTGACGTTAGATCTTTTCCCCAAGCAGGGACCCAATTTCCAGGATGGGTATCGACATTTGAAAATGGTTTTTCTTTCTCTCCTCACCTTCTGGTGTGGGGACCGAAGGGCAGCACCGTTGCCAGAGTGGGGGAAGCACCGAGGCGGGACGGCGTTGACTCGGGCGCCCACGGGCCCCTCCAAGGACTCGGCGCGCAGCCTCTGGCCCCCGCTGGTCTCAGAGATCAGAATGGGTCGGTCGGTTCCCGGTGTCCGTTCTGATGAATAACGTGCCGGCTCCACATGAAATCTCCAGCCCTCCTTTCCGGTCCCGAAGCCAAAACGACCTGCTCAGCATTATGTTCGGCCAACGGGCAAAGAAATGTAATTAGACTAGAATGGAGAGTGAGCCTCCCGTCAAGTGCCTTTGCCCAGGCTGTAGCACGCGGGCAGGATGTGTCCCGTCCCCACGCGTGAGGGCAGACGCGCCAGGTGTGGCCCAGTCATCAGAAGCTGCTGCCTTTGTCTGCCTGCAAGGGTCACCTGGTTAGGGCCACAGGGAGCTCCTTTTGTTCCAGCCGGAGTAGCCATGGGTCCCGCCTGTCCCCTGAAGGCTCCCCAGGCCAGCCCAGTGACGACCAGCATCTTCGTTAGGATTTTTACATGCAGTAAAAGCAGAAGACATGGACCGGGGAGGTGCTGGCCCTGTGCACCCAAGGCCTCTGCTCTCTTCATTTAAGAGCTGCCGCCCATAGACCTGCAGGCGGACGCACCCTTGGTTTCGGGTAGCCCTCGCCGTGGGGGACGGGTCCCTCAGGCAGACGTTCCAATGGCAGCTCACTGGAAGATTCCGCATCTAGGAACTCATCGATCCTCCCAACGATCCCATTTCCAGATGGGGAGAGCGAGGGGCAGAGAGAGAGGGTACGTGAGTTGCCCGAGGTCAGTCTGTTGTAAGAGGTGGGGCAGGGCAGGAAGGTGTCTGGACCCTCCTCTCCATCGGGGCCCAGGAGCTGTTGCGGGACCACCACAGTTCCCAGGAGGGGCGCCCCCGGGTCAAAGACCTTGACTCACTGGATCCCAGTGTGGACCGCAGGCAGGGAGGCGGCTGAGAAGGTACGGAGAGCCCGCAGGACCTGCGGGGCGCCCGGCCATGCCTCCTCCGCACCTGTGGACACGAAGCAGGGGCTCTCTCCAGCCACCTCCCCTTCCCGCACACGAGGACCAGGAGGGCTCCGCAAACCGCCTTGTTAGCCTGTGACAAATGCCGAAAGACCCCGTGGCCGTGTGTCCGACAGACCATTCATCACTCGCCGGGAGGGGACATGCAGATGCTCCGTGTCCCCGATTCCCGTAATGAATGCCTGGGCATGAGCGCGGCACCGAGGATAGCCAGGGAGCTCGCTCAGATTTACCGGGGTACTTATTACCCCTTAAATAAATAGCAATTAATACTAAAACATTTAATTAAGGTTTAAGAGCCAGCTGAGATATTTATCTACGGCGGAGCGGCGGAGCCTCTCCAAATGCATTTTTAATGACGAGGCAGCAGTTCGTTAGGGCACCGGCTGGTGTGCTCGGGCCGGCCCACCACACGTGGGACCCAGACGTGGCCAGCTTGGCTTCCCTGCAGGCCGCCGGTCGGCGACGGCCGGGCTGGTGGGCGCAGGTGCCCTGGCCTGGGCAGCCTCACTGTGTCCCTAGATTCAGCCTCGGACAGATGCCAGCGGAGCCCGCCCCGGAACACCTCCGCCACGCGCAACGCCACCCCGTGCCCGGGACGACCAGAGGACCCCGGCGGCCTCGCTGCTCCCAGAATCGCGGCCGCAGACACGCCTGCCGTTGGCTCTTGGGCGAGTTCCCGTCGCTCTTCCTGCGACTGACGAGTCGACTCCAGGAGACTTCAGCGCGCGGATCTTCCCGTTCACCACGGCCGCCTCCTCCCCGATGGAGCCCGCGCCGTGCCCGAGGCTCTGAGAGGGACCAGTCACGGGTGCTGCTATTCCCCAGGACACGCAAGGCATCGGATAAGAAACAGGAACAGCACCTGAGCCCCGCGCCCTGTTCTAAAAACATCCGCGCGGATAGAATAGCTGGCTTCGAAGGAGCCGTTCGAAGGAGCGCTTCTCCCGAAGCAGCCTCCGCACCCTCCTGCAACAGGACCCCCCTCAACTGTTCTCTGAGCTGAGAGCCCAGCAGAGGGACCAGCCCAAGGGGAGCTGGGAAGGCGGCCCTTCCGGGGGCGGGAGATGAGCCCTCAGCTAAGGCGCTCGGGGGCTCTGTTCTCCCGGCCTTGCAAAAGCAGACGCTGGTGGTCGTGAAGCCGCGACCCACCGTGTGGCTGTGGCCGGCAGGGCCCGGTGAGCCACGAGGCCCCTCCAGGCAGCGGGGGCTTGAGTTGCTCCGAAGTCAGCATCTCTCCCAGGTCCCCATCTCCGACCACTTGGCAGCACACCAGGAGCCTTGCGTGGAGGTGCCCTCCCCGGTGTCCTTCTTCAGTCAGGGGGTCCAGGGTGCACCGTGGGTGTCTTCCCAGCAGATTTGGGGTTCGTGTCCCTCGCTGGTGCCTCTGGGGGTTCGTGCCCAGCTGAGAGGCTCATGAGCTGAGCCTTCGGAGCAGGAAAACCAGAGTCCTGTGAGCTGAGTGCAAGCAGCAGGGTGTGGGCAGGGTGGGAGGCCCAGCCTGGAAGGGGGTACAGCCTCAGACCCCTCATCCGGGCCCATGGGGTGAGCAGGAGACCCACCCACCTCTGCAGGAAGCCAGCGTTGCTCTTAAGCCAGCAAGTCAAGGTTGGGTTAGAGCTCCCTCCCCTTCTTCCTCCCTTTCCCCTCCCCTCCCCCTCCCCTCCCCTCCCCCTCCCCTCCCTCCCCCTCTTCCTCCGTCCCCCTCTTCCTCCCTTCCCCTCCCCTCCCCCTTCCCCTCCCTCTCTCTTCCCCTCCCCCTCCCTCTCTCTCCCTCTCTCTGTGAGATGCTGGGTAGAGACAGACGCCTGTGGGTTAGTAAGAAGCTCCCGCTCCCCCAGTGGCCATCTGTGGGTCCTCCCTGTGGCCCTCCATCCGTCCATCTTGCTGCCCGCCCCCTTCAGCCCCCAGCTGCACCGACAGGCCATTTCAAGCTCCAGGTACAGGGACCCAGGACAAGGCTCCTTCACACCATGTCGATCCCCTTCCGGGCCAGGCACAGAGCTGGAACTGGGGGAGGTGAAGGTGGGGCTGGCAGGGGCCCCCTGACCCCTGGGGTGACACGTGACACATCCAGATGAAGACCAGCGCAGTGGTCCTCCAGCCACAAGTTGTAGGACAGGACAGGACGCGCTAGCAGGCAGACATGGAAGAGAGGACACGTTTAGGGAAGGGGGGTGTCCACGGAGGACCATCCTCAGGCGCGTGAGGTCTGAGGTTTGGGGCCACCTGGAATGTGGGGAGGGAAGCTGGAGAAATGGGGGGCGGGGTCACACCTGGAAGGGTACAGGGGCCAACGTCTGAGGACCTATAGGCAGGAGGGTGTACGTAGTGTCTGTGTGCAAACCTGAGACAGATGGACGGCCATTAGGGTCGCAGTCCACGGAGACAGCCACGCGGGTTCTCGGGGAGCCTTCCTTCCTGAGGCAGGACGCCCCGAGAAGCTTGGTCCAACTCGCTGTCGGGGAGTGAGGAGCACACCGCCGCCCATTGCTCGGACTGTCCCCGGTCCCCGGAAGCAGGTGGCTTTTAGTGTTCCGTGCTGGTAACTTTCAGAAATGTTTGAAAGGTGGTGTGAATGGACGTGACCCAGGACTGAGGCCTTAGCCCTGTGAGCGCGGCTCGGACATGAGCGCTCACATTGTCCAGCCTTCACCACCCCGTCTCCAGAACTCTCCATCCCCCCAAACCGGACCTCGGTCCCCACGAAACACGCCCCTCAGCCCCCGCACCACCACCTCTGTCTCTATGGGCCTGGCTCCTCCAGGCCCCGCCGAAGTGGGATTCCACGGGGGTTGTTGCCACGTCTTTTCACCCACGGATAATCAGAGAAGACACATGCCACGTGGACAGTCCTCTCGGTTTAACTACTACACTTTGTGAACCACCCCTTCCCCAGATCCCAGAAATTGGAGGGGATGGGGCACAGTTCTGGTAAAGGTGACAGGGGAGGTCCGGCACCCCTTTGATGGGGTATCTAGCCCCTCTTTACACCAGGGGACACCCCGCTCCCAGCAGAGGGTGGTCCCGCAGGGGG